AATTGGTTAATCAATTTCATGTAAATATAGCTGCTATATTACTTATTGTAATTTGTAACTATGATACAAACTCCTATAGCTCATTATAGATATTACATATTGCATATAATGAGTATTGATTTCTAAGAACTATAAACAGATTTATGAGTTCATAAACTAAAAATAATACAATATGAATGCTATTAAATAAAAATTATTTTGCAAATAAAAAAATTAAAGAAATATATAAGCAAGTTTAATCGAGGGCACCAACTGACAATCTAAGTTTAATATAACTATATCATTCTTAATAATGCCTGACAAAATTATTTTCGTAATAATATAATGGTTTTATTACAGTTTTGTTTGACAAAACTTTTGGCGATTAATAAAACTCCTGATATTTGATAAAACCTCTAATATTTGACAAAACCTCTGATATTTGATGAAACCTTTGATAATTGATAAAACCCTTAACGATTGACTAGAGGTGCAGGTAAAACTTGAATTATTGGGATATGCCGTGTCAAAACTTAGTTATAACTAGTTACAACTTTGTTGAGTAAAAATGTGGCAAATTAAAACCTGCAAATTCACTGATATAGTTATAATATAATGTATAATATATCTTGTATCACAACATATTTATATGCTATAACCTGTATTATATATATTAGATATCTACATATATATGTACCTAAAATGTACAGTAAAGCAGTACTATTTAGTATATACAAGATTTCTTACAACTCTCACAATTTAAAAAATAGAAAAAGAACATAAATAAATATTTTCTAAGGGCAAAGTATATAATTGATTACTATTACAATATTATATAATTGTACTTTAGTAAAACTAGCTATTAATTTTGTTACTGCTATATTATATATAATATTCATAAAATCTATAATATTATATATATATATTTAAGCATTATATATTATTCTAATTATCTTCAAGCATTCAAGCTACTAAGCTTGCAGGATCATAATTAGTATTTTTTGCATCTATTCATTGCATGTTATTGTCTGATTTTTACTTTGCTTTTCAATAAATAAGTCATTATTATCAATAAATAATAGACTTGAAATATTAATAGCTTTCTCAATTGATAAATTTGTATTATTGATACTATTTAGTTGTAGTTGATAAGGTTCAAAAATATGCTTGAAGTCTTTATTAAAGTTTTGATCAATAGTTTCTAATTGACTTGCATTAATTGTAGATCTATTTACACTGTCTTTCAAGTCATATTCTAGTAATTCACTACCATAAAAATGCTATTTTTTCTTAATATTTGTATAGTAAAATGCATGAACTTTAGCAATTGCTTCTAAATATGAAATATTGAGTCTTGTTCTTTAATCTTAAATATTCACTTCAAGGTTGAGAAATTACGCTCGCACACAAATTGTGATGATGGTATTGAAAAAATTTTGATAGCAAGCTTAGAGAACTAATACTTATCAGCTGATTATACCCTCCCACCCCAGAATATATTAATTAACTATTCTGGGATTCCAAAGTTAGTTATTTAATAATTTTAAATTTAGGGTGTGGTGACATAGTGCAGTTGGCAAGTTGTCACACCCCCCAAATGGCAGGTCTAGGGTTCAAATCCCACTGGCGACGATTTTGAAAAATTAAGATTTGTTTCAGTAACA